GGCACGGACGGGGTTCAACGGCCTTCAACGAGGACCGACGCGCGGTGGCGAGGGCGAGAGAGACGGATAAAAAGGGAGGGTTTGAGTGAGTTCGGGAGAGACGCCGACGTATTGCTGACGGGTATGTGTACATCGTTTTATCTGTGCTTATAATAAATCTATATCAGTACTGTTTGCCGTTTACTTCACTCGTTGCGTCTACTATCTACGAGCTACCGTCGACGAGCGTATACATTCAACGCTACATTAGCAACGAACTCCAACGGCCATTTTTGGTGGTGCTGAAGCAGCGCCAGTCAGCGGGGTGGTCCCAAGCATTCGTAATAGAATGTTCTATAGCCCTGCGACAACTGTACATGGGCTATAGTACTAGAGCTATTACTTAGTATACACACCATATTTATGCCGTGTTCTGTAACGGCTCCGGATGATCATATGAGCTAGCTTGGATCTATTTTTATAGCTCTGATTTTTCATCTGAATGTGGAACCGGTATGCAATATTAAAGTTAGAAATGTCATGGATTCATCAGATGTCACAATTTTTTTTAACATAGGAGGAACGTGAATTCAATGCGATGTATCCTTCGTGTTTCAGAACTCGAAAATGGCCTTGCAGCGTTGACGGTGATGAGCGATAATGGGAGATATTCGTTGTTCCTCCTGCCGGCTTCAAGCAAGCTCCTCAACCACGACCTTCATCTGAGTGGTTTCAGATACATGTTCGCAAAGTGCAATAGGGAAGGTAAGGGACGTGTATAGTGGTAGTGTCTGACTTCCTCTTCTCTTCTTAGTTCCTTCTCCCCTCACGGAGAATAGCGCTGGAAATCAAATTTCTCCATGACGTTCTATCTTTGGCAGCTCTTTCGGCCTCGTTCCATGTTTTAAACCCTAATGTAATCCTTTCTTTCTCCACTGTCCTTCGCCATATTTCCCTTGGTCTTTCCTTTTTCCTCTTCCCCTGTAGTGACAGTAGGGTGACGGTAATGTCGTAGAGTCGTTGTCTGTGGTCAGTGTACTGTCTCTCATTGACTGTATCTGCCTTTACACAACTTTACTGTTTTGGTAAATTATTACAGGGGTAATTTACTGTATCTGTATTGCACTGTATCTGTATTGATTGTACTGCCATCAATTTGTTATAGTTCTAGCATAATTAATGTTCAATCATGGAAAGGCTGTGTATGCGTGCGTGTTTGTGCGTGTGTACGTGCCTGCGTGGGTGCATGCAATGCGGACATGCATGTCTGTGCGTGTGTACGTGCATGCGTGTCTGTGCGTGTGTACGTGCGTGCGTATCTGTGCATGTATGGGTGTGTCCATACCTGTGTGGACCTTATGCCATTCGCCACGTAGTCTTTGGCGATTCTATTAAATTCAGTCATCGAATGTAGACTATATATTCATTACAAGTCTGGCGTTATCTGCTGTGCAGACTGGCATGGCTTGGTGACGCCTGTGACGGATGTCCTCCGTCAACTGCTGGTGAGCGAGAAGGCCGTGCAGGGGGCGCTGCATGCTGCCGCTGCAGCGAGCAAGGCCAACAGAAGCTTGGAGGTAGGACGATGCAGCGGTCACGGCTAGATCGCACGAAACCAATGTTACACATCGAATACATAATAAAACACATTTTATACATATATATATAGATGTATCGTAATAATATGTTTTCATACTGTCATATTACTTTATTATAAAAATTTACAGGTTTGTTTATTTTCATAACGCGTTCCCGATTGCACTCCTGTATCTTGTTTTGTCGTCGTCCCGTCTCCGCCTCGTCCTGTCAGTGAGAGACGTTTGCTTGTTTTCATTCCGCAGCAGGACAAGGCGAGCATGCGCGCCGTGAGATCGTCGCCGCAGTACGACGTCGTGCTCTCGTTGCTCAACCCGCGTCCCGACCTTGTCAACGCCATCTGGGAGCCCTCGCACGGTAAGCCGACCTCGTCAGCGCCCTCTATGAACCGTCGCACGGTAAGCCGACCTCGTCAGCGCCCTCTATAAGAGAGAAGATGAGGTGGCGTGCCGGGCGGTGCAGCAGGGCGTAACGCATATGAAAAAATGAACATATATCCGACACGCGCCGATTGAGGTGGCGGTGCGGGCGGCAGCAGCGGGCGTACGACCTGCTAGACTAATCGCGATCCTCCGTACGTCGCGCCGTAGGTTGAGGTGGCGGTCGGGCGGTGCAGCGGGCGTACGACCTGCTAGACTAATCGCGATCTCTCCGTATCGTCGCGCGCTAGTAGGTTTGAGGTGGCGGTGCGGGCGGGTGCACGGGCGTACGACCTGCTAGACTAATCCGATCTCTCCGTATCGTCGCGCGGTAGGTTTGAGGTGGCGGTGCGGGCGGTGCAGCGGGTGTACGACTGCTAGACTAAATCGCAGATCTGCTGCCGTATCGTGCGCGCGCGAGTAGGTTGAGGTGGCGGTGCGGGCGGTGCAGCGGGCGTACGACCTGCTAGACTAATCGCGATCTCTCCGTATCGTCGCGCGCGTAGGTTGAGGTGGCGGTGCGGGCGGTGCAGCGGGCGTACGACCTGCTAGACTAATCGCGATCTCTCCGTATCGTTCGCAGCGGCGAGTAGGTTGAGGTGGCAGTGCGGAGCCGTGGGGGCACGGCAGTACGACCTGGCTAGACTAATCGCGATCTCTCCGTATGTCGCGCGCGTAGGTGAGGTGGCGGTGCGGGCGTGCAGCGGCGTACGACCTGCTCGCGCAGGTGGTGAGCTACAGAAGATTCGTCACGTCGCCGGACCGGCGCTGGTGCTGCCGAGCAGGACGTTCTTCGAAGCACCCGTCGCTGCTCGCGCCTCCTCTTACTTCCTCCGACGATCAAAAAGTATGTGCCGTCGTATTGTCTGGCGTGAGTCTGTACTGCGTAGCGTAGCTGTGCAGCGCTGCTGTGGCAGAGAGAGAGAGAGCAGAAAGAGAGGAGAAGAGAGAGAGAGAGAGAGAGAGAAGAAGAGAGA